AAGAGGAGGAGAATATTTAGTAGAGAAGCAGAGGATCTGATCTCACCAACAGGCAGGACCTTTTTCTAACTTTGGAGCCAATTCCCTCCCAGGACCTATTTATTGTTCTCAGACCCTGGTGGAGAGGAAGGTATTTCTGGCGAGTTCACATATACAATCAGACTACAGTGATTAAATGTAATTGGGGTTAATCTTTGATTTGCCCTGAACAATTGGGGTACAGTGGTGGCCAGGCCACCTATACATTGAGAGTTTCCCAGAAAAGTTTGTTAGCATATCTGGAGATGGAATGGGAATCCTCCCTGCTGTGATCGAGGTACTCTACAATCTTTGTCAGGTTTCAGGAAAGGGCTGCCTTATTCCATCCTCCAGGGGAGGACACCTTTCTAGGGAAGTAAAATCCTGTTTCATTCATTAACCGGTTAAATGTTAAGGTTAACCAGTTAATTGAGTATACAGGGTGGGCAGAGGGGCTGCTCCAGCTGGGCTGAAGTACCTCTGCCTGAAGCATGCCTGGAGTTACCCCCAACTCCACCATGAACCAGGGATGCTCCGGTTGAGCTGTAACAATCCTGCCTATGGAAGGCCCTGTGGGGCTGGAGCAGCCTCCTGCCCTTGCTGGGTGGGGGACTGCTCCAGACCCTCACTGGTTAACCATAACTGGTAAACCTCACCTGTTAAGAGTGAGGAATACTGGTTAACTAGTTAATCATTAACATTCCTACATCTTTTTATACCAAACCAGCAGTAAGTGACCTAGCATCATTGCAGCACAAAGCATAGCAGCATAAGGTCCACATTTCTGGCCACATTTATTCAGCATCCACTCCTCATTGTGCTCTCTAAGGGTACGTCTACACTGCAACATTATTTCAAAATAACTAGCATTATTCTGAAATAACTTAGTCTGCATCTACACAGCAGGCAGTTATTTCAAAATAGTGTCAAAATACTGTCAAGCTGGAGGATTTCTTACTCCAACTCCTGTAACCCTCATTGTATGAGAAATAAGGGAAATTGGAGGAAGAGTGCTCTATTTCGAAATACAGTAAGCTATTTTGAAATAAGCTATGCAATTGACGTAGCTCAATTTGTGTAGCTTCGTTCAAGTTAAGCCCTGCAGTGTAGACATGCCCAAAGACTGATATTGTGCATGGTGACCTGGGTGAAATGGTGGAAGCTCTGTAATTGATAGGTACTGAGGCAATCCACCTCTGTTTGTTCATCCCCAACAAATTATTACCCTGGTTTGCTGTCCTGTTTGCAATGGGCTACAGAGATCATCCCGGAGAACAGCTGCGTAGGAGGGGTTGGCAACTACGCTCTATGAGCCCTTGAATCTCCAAATCATTGCAGTCTAGAAGCATGCTGTGTGGGAGGGGGCCCCTTCCAATTCCCTCCTCCCCCTTGCAAACACAAAAGCATGAATGAGGACTGTAGTTTGCAAGCACCCTTTTCCATGTTTTCAAAGCAGAAACAAAATAGCCCTCCTCATGAGTTGCTTACCATGCCTGTCTGCAAAGAGTTCAACTGCCCAGCACACTCCCATATGTTATACTTTACTGGTAGGCACTCAGTTTAAAATGCATAATTCAACCTAGTACATAACACGTACTTTGTTTCAGGGGGTCATCTGAAGAAGTGGGCTGTGCCCACGAAACCTCATAATACCATCTACATGTTTTGTTATTCTTTAAAGTGCTACCAGACTATTTGTTGTTTTTTAAGTTTAACATGTCCTTTGTGTTATAAACTGCTTCATTCAGGTTTACCTTTTTATTTCCCTAATACAGTTGGAACCATCAGTCTGTTACTTGCCCCTGCTTCTCCAGTAGTTAGGCTTTCAGGGTATGTCTACACTAGCCCCCTAGTTTTAACTAGGGAAGCTAATGTAGGCATTCGAAGTTGCAAATGAAGCCCGGGATATTTAAATATCCCGGGCTTTATTTGCATCTTCCCATCTGGGCGCCATTTTTAAATCCCCTTAGTTCGAACTAACTGCCTGCGGCTACACACGGCAGTCAAACGTTAACTCGAACTAAGTCCTTACTTTGAGTTAACGCTTGACTGCCACGTGTAGCCGCGGGCAGTTAGTTCGGACTAAGGGGATTTAAAAATGGCGCCCAGATGGGAAGATGCAAATAAAGCCCGGGATATTTAAATATCCCGGGCTTCATTTGCAACTTCGAATGCCTACATTAGCCTCTCTAGTTCGAACTAGGGGACTAGTGTAGACATACCCTCACAGACTAGAAAGTGGGAAAATAAAAAAACCATGGGACAAAATATTTAACGAGCTCATGCAATCTGCCTGCACTGATAGAACACTACTGAATGCATAGATGAGAACGCTGTTAGAGGTCATCTGCACCGAACAGGAGGACAGGAAAGCTTGCAGGGAACATGAACATAAGGCACAGGATGAGATGTTGAGGCTCATGGAGGGGAACAAACAGAGCTAATTAAGCACCTGGTAGAAGTGCAGGAAAAGCAACTGGAGCACACAGCTTCCCTGCACCCATGCAAAACCATCTGCCCTCCTCACCAAGTTCCATGTCCTCCTCTCCCATATGTCCTAGAATGCAGGTGGCGGGGAGGACCAGGAAGCCTTAACTCAACTCCCAGGGATGGCTCCTGGAGGAAAAGACCATCATTCCCAGAGCTTTGATAGCTACACAGAGCAATTGTAATAAACCATGTGTCCTTGTGCCTCCCTCCCTCCATTATTAGACCCTAGCTACACCCACAATTCCTTTTCTATTCAGTTATGTTCTCTCTGACGCATAGTGCATCTTAATGTGCTCTTCTTATTGCTCTGGTATCTGGCTGCTCTTAGTTAGCTACCAGGCAATCTGCCTAGACACTTCCCACCCCCACCAGAAGCTGCCCCTCTTCCCCGCAACTTTCACAGATTCTATGCAGCACACACCAAGCAGCAATAACAATGGGAGTAGTGCTTTCACTGAGCTCTAACCTAGTGAATAAACTTCAGGAGGTAGCCAAGTTAGTCTGTACAGGATAAACTTAAAAAACAACAAATGATCTGGTAGCACTTTATAGACCAACAAAACATGTAGATGGTATCATGAGCTTTCGTGGGCACAGCCTACTTCTTCAGATGACTGGAGTTTTGAGTTTAGGATGCGCAGACCCAAAATAAATAGGGGAGAAGGGAAAGGGGGGGAGGAAAAAAAGGGGGCGGGAAACAAGGAGCAGAGGGTATGAAAATATCAAAGGGAAAAACACATAAGCAGAGCTGGTAATCTATAAACACCTAAAGATTGGATAGTTAAAAGAACCAGATAAGGAACTTAGGATAGCAATTACATAAGAAGGGTACTTAACACCAGAATCTACACAGATGAGCTGTTGGCACTTTCATTGAATGTTAGGTTGATCATGTCCCAGCCATCTGTTATCTCGATTGAGGCTATCAGTGTGAGAATTGAATTTGTGGATGAATTGTAATTCCAAGCCTCTCTGTGTATTTGGCTTGTAGAATTGGTTTGTGTCAAGACAGCCACCTGAAGATCTTTCAAAGAGTGATTAGGTAGATTGAAATGGTCTCTAACAGGTTTCTGTATGTTCCCTTTACATATATCTGATTTGTGTCCATTTATTTTGTAATCCATAAAGTGCTACCAGACCATTTGTTGTGTTTTTAAGTTTACCTATTCAAAGTTCACCAGCATCCTTTTAAATGGTCAAAGGCACATTCTACCACCATTGTGCACTTGATCAGCCTGCAGTTGAACTGCTCCTTATTGTGGTCCAGGCTGCCTGTGAATAGCTTCATGAGCCAATGGAGCAAGGCGTAGGCTGGGTCTCCAAAGATAACCATTGGCATTTCAGCATCTCCACTAGTAATGCTTCTGGTCTGGGAAGAAAGGTCCATCTTGAAGCTTTCTGAAGAGACTGGAGCTCCTAAAAATGCACGTGTCATGCTCCTTTCCTTACCATCCCATGTTGGTCTTGGAGAAATGGTCCTTGTGATGTGCCTGCATGTGCATCACCACTGGGATAGGCGCATCAGAGTGAATTACTATTAGACAGAGAGGTGGAGGATACTCCCCCTCGCCTTTCCCTGAGTCTCTCCTGGGGCTCTCCACACATGCAGGGTCCCAGGCTGGCTCCTTCCACGCCGCACAGCCAGCGCCCGCGCGCCGCCGCGCGCTCTGACAGGCCATCGTCACAGCCGCTGGCGCGCGCCCTGCTGCCTTTCGCTCTCTTCCCTCCCTCCAGCCGCGATGTGG